TCTGTGCCCCCCCCCCCATGCCTCTTCCCTTCCCCCTCCCCTTCCACTGCAACAGACTTACCAGCTGGACACTTCTCTTCAAGCTGCCAGGCTGCATATCAGAAATTGAATCAGTATCAGCCAATACACCTCCTTAAAAATTGGCTATCAATATCGGCCCCAAAAATCTCTTATTGGTGCACCCCTACAAGGAAGGAAAATAGTTGTCCTGGAATAACTCCAAGTGTGGACATGTGTATTCTGGAGTATGAATATCTTGTTCCTGTTTTAGCTTAACCTACTTTCAACACTCTGAGGGTGAAGTTACATGGTACATTTGGACCATACTAAATCTGTGGAATGTTAAACAGTGTTGAAGTGTTTGATCAAGCTTTGAGCAGTCACGTGCCATGGGTATTGTCGCGGGTAGGTATTATAGAGCTTTGGACTTCTTTTGCCTAGTTGTTTACCCCCTGGTGACATCAGGGTGAGATCGTAAGACAAGCATTACCTGCGTGACTGGTTGGTTGTTCCCTCTCGCCTGCCACATCTTCATGTTCTTGTTGGGAGACTCTCTCTATCCTGTGGGATCTCACTTGTTTGAATTTTTAGTGGGGCTCCAACCTTCCCTTTATCCCACCTTACCGCATCCAGGACCAGAAATGGCATTGTTGCCTTGGAGCTCGCTTTGCTGGGATGATGTTCTCACCCAAGCTGCCTGGTATTGTATGTGCTGCTCCCAAGTTGTCGGCCTGTTGTCAGCCGTCCTTTGGCATGGACTAACATCCCTGTGACTGACCTCGTCACAGATTTGCTTTAGGCAATTCTTTCAATAATAACTTCGGAATTAATTTAAAGTACAATTGACCAGCCTCCGCTGGTATAGACTTGTGGCTATCGGTTCTTGCCATACTCTGAGAATTCTTAGTGCCTTGCTGTGCCCCCAGGTACCCACCCAGCCAACCATCGCTCCTGGCCTCGATGCCGCTTGGGACTTCATGTTCTGCCTCATCACTAGGGCTTCAGCCCTCCTCTCACCCCGATGGATCACTTCCGAGCTCTGACTAGCCTCAGGTCCAGTTGGGGCTTCCCTGCCAGGCCTGGCATTGCCTCCTGGCTTCCGTCCCCACTCTTCCCCACTGGGTACCTCTGGGCTCCAATGCTGCCCGTCCAGTTGGAGCTCTGAGCCCTTCTCCCTCCAGTTCTTCACCAGGGTGCACAGCTGGCTCAGCTTTCTGGGCAAGCCACATGCGTCTTCCCAGCCATCCTTCACCAGGGTGCACAACTGGCTCAGCTTTTCTGGTGAGCCACGTGCAGCTGCCCAGCTGCTCTTTACTGGTGCGTGCCAATGGCTCTGCTCTCCACGCGAGCCACATGAGGCTTCCTGGCTCTGCCTCATCTCCTCCAGCTCCTCCGATTTTCGCAGCCACTCTGCCCAGCTGCTCCCTGGCTCGCTGCTAGCCCCTCTCCAGGCTGGCGTCCTGCTGCAGCTTCGCCTTCCCAGCAAGCCACGCTGAGGCTCTCTGCCTTGGCTCTTCCTTCTGTGGCATTTCCCCAACGCTTTCCCCGACACTTCCTCTCCCAGCGTGCCCTCTCTCAGTCCTTTTCCAGCCCCTTCACTCCCCAGGCCCTTTTCACACCCTGATCTTCAGGCTCAGGCTGATCTTAAACTGCCACCCCGGGGCTAGCCTCTCTCTCCCTGCAGTGAGAGAAGAGGATCGTGGAGAAAAACCCGGTCAGCAGTCTCCTGCCCCTTCCCAGATATCATTTCTTGCCTGCACAGCTATGGCTTGCCACTTGAGGCCTGATGGGTGGGGGGGTATGGCTACGAGCCAGGATGCCTGGACTCTTATCCCTGTTTTGTGGGGGAGGGAGAGGGGCTGGAAGCAGTGCTTCCTGGGATGCTGGAGGACTGTAACTTGGTTGTTTGAATTCCATGGAGCAGACTAGGAGCTAACATGAGCTAGCTTGCATGGCCCAGAGATGCTTGGACTGCACTTAAAAATTGATGAGCTTTAAAGTGCAAATGCTCGCATTTTTAAATGCTGTTATTACAGTTTATGAGTAAGGTGTAACGTCACCTTGATTAAAGCAAAGTCGTAGACAAAAACACTGGTCATCTGAAATTTCTGGATAATTAGAAGGTTTAACTGTAGAAACTAGACGTTTTTCTTTCTCATACTTAAAACTATTTTCCCCACCCAAGTATAATCTGAAAAACATATCCAGGATCTAATTGGGTAAAGGTATCAAGTGGGGTTCTTATGGGGTCTGGTACTGTTCAATATCTTCATTTATGATTTGGAAGCTGGGGTTGAATGTACACTTAGTAAATATGCAGGTGACACCAAGCCGGGGAAAGTGAATTTTGCACTTTGGAAAATAGAATTAGGATTCAGAATGTCCTTGATTAATTGGAGAAATGATCCAAAATTAATCAAATGAAATTCTATAAGTCTTGCACTTAAATCAGAACAATTAAATGTGCTAATAGGGACTGGGGAATGACTGCAGTACTGCAGAAAAGAACTACAGTGGTTATAGTGGACTGCAAGCTAAATATGAGCCAAAAGCTTGTTCTTTTTGCTAAAAAATCCAATAGCATACTGGGTTGTGTTAACAGGAATGTTACCCCACCCGCAAGTCAAGGGAAGAGACTCCTCCATTCTGTTCAGCACTGATTGAGTACTGTATCTAGTTCTGGGCACCACATTTGAAGAAAAATGTGAACAAACTGAAAAGGGTCCAGCAAACGTCATTAGAAGATAAGAAGTATTCAACAAAAATGATTAAAAACTAGGAAACATGACTTACAAAAACAAAAATGTTGGAAAAATTGGAATTGTTTGCTAACTGTTAGTAAAAAGACTAATGGTTATTACACATGGTGAGAAACTTATTTCCTGTGGTATTTCATTCTATACATGGCAAGAACATAGTGTATGGGTGTGTCTACACATTGCCCTCCGGCACCATAGTGATCACGCAGGGCTACACGTGATCGCCAGCTACATTGCCATAGTGACCTGCTCCCCCAGTATAGTGTGCTGCTACGGCAGTGGAACAGCAAAATCTAACCATGTACTTCACGCATGACGCAGTAACCACCCGTACTGCACCATGCTTTAGTACTTCTGAAAGGAAGTAGTAATGCACGTCACGGTAGCAATGTCACCATATGGCAACACATAGACATGCCCTTTGTGTGTTACTTTGATTGGTATTGGGTTTCTGACAAAGTGATTTGGATGATAATTTGCTGCATTTTTACTTGGCACTTTTTGGAGTATAATCTTAAGTATCTGGTAACATTTCTTTAGAAGTGACAACTAATCATCATCTAAGATGTACTAAATGCTTTTGTTTAAAGAAAGGTGAGATGCATGTATTCGTTGTGGCTGTCACTTAGAACAGGGCTCCTGCTCCATGAAACGTTAGCTACCAAACCTGATGTAGCCCTTCAATATATTGTTGTATTAGTGGTGCACAGAGGGCCTGATGATGTAAAGTTAAGTTGTTCAAGCCATAACTGAACTACTGTTTAATTTCACTCTGATTTTAATGGTTACAATATTCCTGGTGAATCCATACTGGTGGTTCCTGATCCTCTTGTTCTCCTCTAGGTTCCTCACAATAGATGAATTTTTCCTCCAGTGACGTTCAACCAAGTCCCCACACAAAATGGGGACTTTTGCTGCCCAGTGTCTGCAGGAGACTTTCCATTCAGGTTGTTCACTTTATCAAATGCTGGGAAAATTGCCCTTTACTCATTTTAAGTATGAGAGCATTGAGAGGACAGAAAGGAGCCATTAGTTCTTGTGACTGGAATGGTTGTTGTTGCCTCCGTCCAGTAACTTTTGGATACGAGATCCACATCAAACTGGAATAGTAATGCCGGTGGTTCTGTACTGAAAGACTGGAGTTTTTGTCTCATCCTGGTCTGCCCCTTCCTGACAAATCCAATTCAGAACACCCCAAAGATAGAGGAGGGGGGTGTGGGGAGTTTTGAGTTTCACTTCCCAATCAAGTACCATGGAAATACTGCTGAAAGTCAATGTACAATGGTTAAAGAATGAATAGGTTCAGTTTCTTTTGCAATGGTCGTTTTTTTGGGTTTTGTTTTGTGGGGGGAAAAGAGGTATGTGGGAGTGGGGGAAACAGAGGTTTTGTCCAAGTGCTTTTTCTTTGAAAAAGTTCTCAAAACTCATTCTGAGACTTGCTCCTTTAAGAACATTGTACATGATATATATTTTTCTACAGTGTGTGAGCATACTATGTCAAAGAATTGTTTTGATTTCAGAGCCGAGGGAGCCAGCTATCTGCATGTCACAAGGTCTAAGGGAAACGAGCTGACCCTCAGCCTACTTCCACCGAGCCAAATTCTGATGGGATTCTTAAATAGCTTTGGCAAACAATTCTGTTTCTTTTGGACTTGATGAATGTTTCTGAAAACATCTGATTTTTCTTCCTTTATTTTGCTACACGGTCACCAATAGAAGCAGCTTGAAACCAAATGTAAGTATTGTATCTCCTTTCCCTTACCCCTGTTTTATTTGAGAACGTTTTGAAATGCCAGGGTACCAGGTGACCAATGGACAGTTTATGAACAGCTAAGCAAGAATTTCTCTTTACACATGACTTCTAATTTCATCTTTGATTCTGAATAGACTCTTTTAATTACAGTGACTTAATGAAGATGAAGGCATATGCTATATATATCAAAAAGTAGATTTTTCCTGAATTTTTCCTTTAAAATGCACCTTCTTCAAATTTCCTGCAAAGTTGTGTGAAAATTTTAACAGTTTTCTTAAGATATACCAAGAAGAGGCTCCAACATTTGTTTGAAAGTTTAATCATATCCATGCTATTAATTAGATTATTAATTACTATCGTTTTTTTGTTTTTTTTTAAAGAGCACCTAGACCTTACCATCATCTCTTCAGGAAATTAACAAAATGTATGCTTGTTTTCTCATAGAATTGGGACAATGTGTGTTGGATATTTATCTACCATTGGGGGAGAGCTCTCAAATGTCCCTTTAAATTTCATACAGATTTAGAATTTAAAGGATTACAATTAGGTTGAAGAGATGTATCGGTGCATAAAAAAAAGGTTTGCATTTATGGATAAAAAGATGGAAATTATCCATAATTGAAGGACAATACAATATAAAATCGGTGCTACCTGATTTCATATAGGTAGTAGAGAGCACTATGTTTGGTGCTATGTTCATATAGGTAACAGAGAGAGTCATTTTTCTTTTTGAATACAAGACCAAAATCGTACTTAATAGTTTTATCATACACAATTTATATTGTAATCACAAATATATTCTGAAGTATACTATTTTATAGCTTTCTCTATTTTCAACATATTTTGTTATACACTCTGAAGCTCCAACTTCTAGTAGTTGAAAGTGAGAAAATTGCAGGGCTTTTGAGAGAGCGACGGATCAGTTTTGACCCATGGTATCTCAAGGTTATTTGTAGGCAAAGTTTAAGGAATACTTTTGATAGATATCATAAATCCCTTAAGATGTCCTCTTGCCCACATGCTGGTAAAGCCAGCTTTCTTTACAATTTATTTTCTGCTGTTACGGTTTAATTTTAAAAGCTGAAGTCTGTGTAAATAGCAAGAGATGGGGTCAAATTTACTTTTTGTGGGTATTTCCCTGTCGGTTTTCTTAGAGGTGCCACATAGAGAAATTCTAAGAATTCAATCTCTTCCAGTCTAGTTATATATGCTTCATAGTTCTTGTGGAGCCCCCAACACTTTGGCTGTGATGGACATGGAAAAGTAACTAACATGATGCCTCTTGTGGGCATGATGCCTCTTGACTCAGCACAGGGGTGCACAGAGTATAAAGTAAAGCACCGTTTACTTTGGGAGGGGGGGTTACGTCTGCAAGCAGCCTTTGTAAATAGGAATAATGAAATGCCACTTATGTTCCATTTTTTTGTTTGCATTTATTAGGAAGTGGTCATCGAGATCTGTTGATGTGGCTTTGAAAATCTCAGTCCATTTATCTTATAGACTTTTCCATTAGGGAGGGTTTGATATAATAGGAATGAAATTAATAGGATTCTTCGGAAATTGAACAGCACTGCACAAAAGCTGCTTCAAAAATACAGGAAATCTAATGGAAAATGATAAAAAAATCTCTCTTATAGCTCTTTCATGTATACAATTTTATAAAACTATAAGATGACTGACAAAATAGTGGCTCGTCCCACCTCATTGTTTCCAGTGCTAAGGCTTTTCTTTGATTCCTGATAATCTGACTTCAGAAATTTCCCTCCATGTATTTCTTGGTCTGACTTGGCTTTTGCAACTCTCTGCCCTGAAGCTGTTTTAATGTTTCCTGTGTCAGGTTCTTTTTTATTTCAGTTTCTTTTTGTTCCCCCATTATTCTAGTCATGGTACTTCCAGTAGTTCTCATGAAATATATATCAATGTCCTTCACAATCTTATCTCTTCTAGCCGCCTAGTCATCCTGTTAATTAATTTGTACACAAAACACTTTGGATAATTTATCATCAGTTAAAACGTAGTTGTACATGCGTGCTAAATTGCAATGGAATTTGCTCCAGTTATGCCATCGGAAGAACTTGTCAGGCTAAGTAGACACTCTTCAGCTTTAAAGGTATTAATCTAAGCCATCCATAGCATCTGTCATGATAGATGATGCTTACAAAGCATTGGACACTTCTCAGCTTTTCTTAACGTAGACAATCCATTATCTTGCTGAATTATCTGCTGTTTTGGGTGCATGTAAGAGTGCACCCAAGCAAGTTTCATATTATGCATAATGTTAGTCATATTTTAACATTAGCATATGATTTAACACGGCTAATGTTAGCTTTGTTAAACCATAACTACTGGCTTATCAAGTTAATAAGTGGAACATTTTAGTGCACCAGCTCTTTACCAGATCATACTACCCAATGCAATAATAATTCAGTGATATCAGCAGTCATCCATACATTTTTAAACACCCAAGGGCTTTAAAATGATTGTAATGTTAAGTCTTAATTTGTAGTTACTACATTAAGTCTGGTGTATTTTCCTCCTTTTATCACAGACTTTCAAGCAGGATCTTGCCCTAGTCATTTCACTGTTTCCATGACCTATCTGTAAGATAAAGATTTTGCAGCATCCTCCTTTGTAAAATGAAAGTAATATTTGTCTCACAAGGAGATGATGAAGAGTAGTTTATTAATAATTTATAAAGTGCATTGGAATCAAAGGCTTGGAGCTGAAGCATGGAAGTACTAAGCATAGTGTTTAGTAGGTCCTGTAAACAAGCCAGCTGTGATCCTTTAATTGGCCTGAAGATTATATTCAGCTCATTTTGGGTACTTTTTTTTTTGTTTATGATACAACTATTATTGATGCCAAATGGTTTTATTTTTTCATGGGGAAAACTAGGCAAAATCACTTCAGTGGAAAGAGAAAACAAAAATAAAAAGGACCATACTACAATAGTTGGTTTGGGTTTTTTTTACTGTTTTGATTTGTGTGTGTTAGTTCCCCACTCTCTGTACCACCCTTTTTTTTTTTTCTTTTAACTGGGTAACTAAATTGGTTTTCGGATCAGGCTTCAAAACATCTACATTGCTTCTAACCTTCTTCGTGCTGCTTTCACAGCTGCTTTAAAGTCAGCTGTTTCCTTTTAAAAAATGAAGCTAGGAAAAATGCACATTATAGTTCATTACTCTTGCATTAAACAGGGATTTTTATCTTGGTTGCTATATCTGTTCTCAGAAGATAGAGTACTCTTCACCTTTCTTTTATTTCTTGGACTAAAATTAAGTTTTTTGTCTCTGTAGCTATGAAAGGCACAATATAAACCTATTTTGGTAAGGTTTTAAAGGTAGCATTCAGCTTCACTGGCATCGTCTGAAGTTTTATTGCTTATCATTACTGGAAAAAGCTGATTCATTTCATTGCTTGTAAACTCTTCACTCGTCTCTTTATTTGAGGCAATTTCCACTATTTTTCCCCAAGAAGACTTCCATTTCTGAAAGCAACCCTCCTTTTTTTGGTGGGGGGATGGGAATGGGTTCTTGCAGAACACTAATACTATTTTATTAAATGCTAGATTTCCTTGGTAGTTTCTCACTGTGTTGAGCTTGCATTTTCATCTTTCCTTTTACTATTCAGACAGTGGAGTTCATAGGAGAGAATCAGATCACTGATACCACTTTTTAGGAGTGGGGCTTCTTGGCTGTACAAATGCTTTTCTATCAAAGACCTCTCATTTGCTCTGATTTCTTTTACTGATTGAAATAACTGTCAAAACTCCCAGGCCAGATCAAAACTCAGTCTCCATTTGCAACATTTGCATTCTGTTTAGTTTTATTAAAATACTTTTAATTAATTTCTATATATTTAGAGGTCAGGGAAGGAGGAGGGCTCTTCTGCTCAACTCCAAGGATAACATCAATCAACTATTCTTATTACTGACAATTACTAATGTTAGAGAAGCTTTCAGGATTGGGACCCAATTTATTAATATTTCCAACCCCTTCTCTGTATGTCCCAGAATCAATTTGATAGTGATATAAAAGTATTTATTTTTCAAAGCCAAAATGACACATCACTTGCTAAGCCATGAGGAATCTATACTCTAGCTTAAACATCCACTTGGTACTAGATCTAGGACAGGCAGTCTCTACTGAGGGGAATATCCAATTGCAAGGTAAGGCTGATCAAAACATTTCTTTTCCGGAAAAGAACATTGACTCTTCCTCAAAAAAAAGATGGTAGGTGAAACCCAAAATGTTTCCATTTCTCATATTTTAAATCACATCAGTTTTGTAACTCTTTCCTCCTAGATTGTTTGATATCAAACTTGACTGAGCCTAGGATAGACTAATTTTGGGGGGGGGGTCTCTCTCCCCTTCCTCAAGAAATCACCTTTCTTGCTCATAGTTTCTTATCCTGCAACACAGAGATTGAACAGAGCAGTGAGTGGATTTGTTCCTGGAGCAAAGCCACTGAAACATTGCTGGAGGGTGCTGAGTGCACCCAAAACATTAGATTTCTTTTTGTAGTCCTGAAGCCCTTGTCTATGGTAATTAGTATTAGCCTAGAATTCAATTGAGATTAACGAAGAGAAAAAATAGTTTTGCAACTTTCTCAATAATACATTATATTTTTTTAAGAAGCCTTAGTTTTTCCCAGCAAAAGAATCTATGCATCCAGAAATTATTTTTTGTGTCCAATAAGGCCTTTTTTGTGCTATGGCTATGTTTAACGTATGGTTAGCAAAATACTTGAAAATTGTATCCTATGTTATATAGCAATGCAAAGATTATGCGACTGGAACTGGAGCACTTTCATAATTGTTGACATCATGAAGACTAGAGCATATTGGCTTTTTTTTCCCCTGCCCCAGAAAAGTTTTGACATTTTAGATGTTTTCGCATGTGTTCTGGGGGTGGAGGGGGAGGCACTTGAATTACAGTGGCTCCAAAAGCAACTTTAATTAAGGCGCCCAGAGTGTCTCATGT